GCCTGGGGGGAGGTGGGCCAGACAGGAGTGACTTGAGAAAAGAGGCATTTGCAAGGGGAGGGAGCTCATCCCCGCTACCCCCTAGCCTATCCCCCCCCCCCCCAACCCCCCTCCCCTCAGGCTAACCCCCCTCGCTCCAGGACTGCTGGCAAGTCCGATTGGACCGATCGCCAAAACCCGCACGCACGTTGAAACTAACCCCTCTCACCCCCTCACCCCCCACACACATACACATACACACACACACGCAGTCCCCGCCCTCCCCCCGGCCCCCCTCAGTCAGCGGGCCTCCTCTCCCCTGCCCCTGCCCCTGCCCCTCCCCCACCCGATCTCCCGCGTCCTCGGGGATGTCCTGCAGGGCCGTACGGGGAGGGGGAAAACACACATGCATACATACATACTGAGGCACATGTTCTCAAAGTTGTCAAGAAGTGGCTGGGTCAGGCCAGGCCAGGCCGGGTTTCACGATCGCCATCAGTGGATCAGCACCCGTCAGCACCTAACTAACTAACTAACTAACCAACCAGCAGTGCACCCGTCAGCAACTCGTCTTTCCCGTCTCCCTTTCTCAATCAACACAGCTGCTCGTTAGCTGCAGTAGCTAAGCTGCTGCATGTCAAGAGGACCTCGATGACTCTCTTACGCGACAGACCAAACGACGACTGTAACCAACAAAAAGCCGGAAGAGTCGGATAACGTTACCGATAATAATGGGGCCTTACTCACCTCCCGGAACCGGAACCAGGAGGGGTCAGTGACTTGATCGCATCGCATCGCACCCCCGTCGTCGTCGTCGGCAGCAGTTTTGGACTTTAAATAGGACACCGGCAGGCACTACATTCTGATTTCCCCTCCCCCCCCCTCGCCCCCCGCTAGCCTATGACTCCTAAGCCCTCCGTGCGTTGCGCTCTCTCCCCCACCCCCCTCCTTACCGTCCCTCCTCAGCTATCTACTCATCATCCACCGCCGGTAGCTCCACACCCAATCCCCATCCCCAACACCTTCCTTAGCCCAGTCCACACCCACCCGCACCCGCCCCAAGCCACCTCACGACAGCATGACAGCATGGGCGGCCCCAACAGCCCCTCCCCCCCCAACACCCCGATGGAGTTTTGCCCAGCCCGATTGCCCCCCTTGACGGATCCCCCCACCATCAATCCGGGGGTACTGCTTGTACTGCTGTATTTGCAGATACATACACGTTCGTACATTTGTACGTACTGCCGTACCTTGAGGTCCTCATAACCCAGGAAGTACAACGAGAACTTCATGTCCGAGAAATCCAATTTGGACAACAACCTGAGGGAGCGGTTGGGGGTGAGGTTGGATGGATGAGGGTGTGTGAGTGTGTGAATGCGTGTGTGTGTGTATGCGTGTGTGTGTATGCGAAAAGGGGGTTGGGGGGAGGGGAAAATCAACCCCACATGAGATGGCACCTTTACCCTCCCCCGAAACACCCCCCCAAAACGCACGCACACGCACGCACATACGCGCAGTAAACCTTAAGTCCCAACCGACCATGTCGTACTTTCGTATATTTGCTTATCCCGAGGGGTTGGACACACACAGCACCCGTTATTCCGGGTGATATTGTATGTATGTATGTATGTATGTATGTATGTATGTATGTATGTATGTATGTATGTATGTATGTATGTATGTATGTACCTCATGCCCAGCACTCGCGTGTAGAAGTCCAGCGACTTGACCGGATCACGAATGCGGTACATGGTCTGCGTGGGCGGGCGTGTGTGTGTGTGTGTGTGTGTGTGTTTGGGGTGGGGGGGAAAGGAGGACATTGGCGGACGCAGCTAACACGTGTACAGGTAGGTGCATTCACGGGGAGGTGGCAAATCATCAGTCAGTTTGTTAGTTGGTCCACCCCGCATGTCAACCAGCCTGGAATAAGTACACAGAGACCAAAATGCGAAGCAAAGTCCTCGGTCTGCTGACGCACTCGCCTCTGCACCCTGCCTCCCTCAGCCTGTCCGTCCGTCCGTCAGCCATGTGTTCTCGACCATCCAAAACCGCCTTTTTCACGAAGCCGAAATTTATCCTCTTACAAATCAGACCACCCCAGCAGGACCCCAGAGGATAAATCACCCCGGCCGACACGTGCATGAGCACCAACCTGCTGGAACACGAACCCCTGGGTGGCCGGGTCCGGATTAGCGCACACTCCAGGCGTGGACTGCAACTCCGCCAACGAAGCCATCTTAATCTGCTGGCGAGTTAGGTTCCTCCTCAGCGGGGCGCCTGCAAGTCAAGTCGGCAACAATTCCAACGATCAGTTTAATTCAGCCCGGTAAGTAAAGCATCAGCAGCCTAGATCCAAACTATTAAGGACGTGTAGGTGTACTTACAGGTACGACGCCTAGAATGAGGCACCGAAAGGAGAGCTGCGCAACGAGGGGTGTTGCAAAGCGATACCAGCGGCATTGCCCTTGCCCTAATTCGTGTCGGGTATCCTTTATCAAGGAATGCACGATCCGAATTAGAACGCACGGCTCATCATGCAAGAAGCACTTGCTGTACACTCCGTACTTCGTCCCCCAGGTCTTTCGGGTCGATCGTTCATTTAGCGTTGCGAGGTGGCTTTGAGGCTTAGCAAATTCGTTTGTCCATGTTTAGACAAGCTTTAACTTAAAAGTACAATGGAATCGATTTGTACCTGGCCTCAGAGCTTCGTTTGTTGTCACATATAAAAACACGCGCTTCGCTTATTGTCGCTAAATTGTTACCTATTTAAAGCTTCTTAAAATCATTTCTGTGGTGCAAAGGAAAAATAACTTCAGCATGTTGGTTGACGCCCTTATTTTCTGAGGTTTATCTTTGACTAAGCAGGAGGTAATGTCTTTTGGAGCACCCCATGCCAATAAAAAGAAGGATGGGCTTTCGTCGCTTAGCAAGGAGACACAGGAATTGCTTCAAGGTGCGGCAGTACCAGTACCAACGTCTTTCGCAGCAGTTTTTCGATGATTTTCTGAGCTATTTTGCATACGTGTGTGATGGTCAGGAGTCATGAAGGATCGTGGCCTATCACACCGGGCGCTCCAGGATGTTGCAACCAGCCTGCAAAGTAGGTACCAGGCCATTAAAGAGGGCTATGGGGCCAAAACCAATTAATATATTGATGTTGGTTTAGACACAAAGCTCCATCGGTACACGTGCGACCGGTTGAAGTTCGTAAAGCCATGGCGCTTCGAGTGTTTTGCAATCTGGGCGGCCGAGTTGCATGGTCCTCCTGCTTCACATTAAGCATAATCCAATCCTCCTTCCTTTATGAAGATGGAGGATTGAGAAGTGCGCAGAGCTAAACATAATTCGTAGGTTGCGGTGGGACGGTCCCGTGGGTCCTTGCCCGGCAACGTTGCGGCCAACGGGACCGTCCCATATCCGTCCGCTCCAGGACTCCGCTTCCTGCTGCCCGTGTCGTTGACCACCATCACCAGCTAGCCATTTCCATTGTTCTCTTCACTCTTCGCGATACCCGCTTCACTCTACCACGCGCCCACAGGGGGTGACTCCGCGTGGGTGGGTCACCTCAGCTCGGGCACCTCCTCCTACCAGCCGCCCAAGAGCAAGACAGCCAACCCGGTGAAGGCCCCCCGGGTGGGCGCCGGAGGGGGACCTCAACTGGCGCCGCCTCTACCCGGCAGGTGGGTCTCGGGGGGGAGGGGAGTCAGGGGGAGGGGGGGACTGATTGGGGGCTGTATTCACACACCTACCTACCTACGCACCTACATACACACCTACCTACCCGTTCCTTCCGTACGATTCCGTACGATTCCGCGCTCTTGTAGCGTTCTTGTAGCGATTCCTTCATTACCTCAACGGTACCCCCCGTGTCGTACCCGCATGGGAAGCTCCCCCCTCCTTAATACCGACTGCCCCGCTTCTGACCATACATACATACACACATACTTATATACTTACAGGTTCAGCGGCAAGAAGATGCAGCATGAGATACTCCGAGACACCCCCCCCGAGCGGGACATGTTCGTGGGGGGACCTCCGGCTCCAAATAGGGAGGCGGAGAAGGACAGGCTGTCCAAAGTGGTGCGTAGCGGGGTGGAGTAGTGGGAGTAGCGGCAGTAGCGGCGGTAGTTGCAGTAATAGCCCCACCCCAAACCGGTACGGAGGGGCATACAACTCTGTGTGTGCGTGTGTGTTGGGGGGGGTGCGGACGGGGTGGACATGACGGGACAGTGTGTTCGCCAGCAGGGGACGTCGGCCCCCCTCATCCCCCTTCTCACTACCACTGCCGGGACGGGACTGAAGTAAGGGGGGGGAACGTTTTCTACACCGGCGAAGAGAAGCTGAAACCTTGCCTTTGGAGAGCCTGTATGTACGTCTGTCTGTCTACCTGCCTGCCGGTCTGTCTGTCCGATAGCCTTGTAACGTTCCTGTCTATATGAATGTGTATCTTCATGCCTGTCTGTCTGTCTGTCTGTCTGGCCCTGTCGTACCTCCCCCGGACCCCAGATGGAGCTGGGCTCCAAGGGCGCCCGCGAGCTGGATGCCAAGATGGCGGCCATGAAGCGGGAGGCGAGGGAGAGGGCGGAGAGGGCCAAGAGGCTGGATGTGCGAGAGGAGATGATCGACCAGGTGGGTGTCTGGGTGGGGCGGAGGGGCGGGGGTGGGGTGGGGCGGGAAAGGTAGTACGGAGTACGGCAATTCGGGGTTTGGGGGGAGAACAGGAAAACCTCCACCATCCCCATTAGGGGGCGCCGAACCCCCTAAAACACACTGACACGCATTGACAGAACCCACCCACTCCGACGCCCAGCCCCCGGTGGGGTCAGGATCTCCCCCCCCCCCACTATCCGGGGCAGCCCTTTCTTCGCGGCCCCGGGTGATCCCTCCCCCCGCCCTCTCCCCCGGCCCCTGTTCCCCGAGCTAAGCAAACCCCCCGACCCCGACCCCGACCCCGAACCCGACCCCGAACCCGCCCCCGAACCCGCCCCCGAACCCGCCCTCTCCCCCGCCCCCGACCCTTCCAAACCCCCACTCGCTATATGGTGTGATGTTGGTGTTCAGATTGTTGACGAGGTCCGCGAGCGACTGACCTTCCTGGAGTCCATGCGGGCACTGGGCCGGGGGCCCGAGTACGAGGCCCATATCCGTGGCGAGGTGGCGGTGCGGCTGAAGGAGCTGGAGAAGCTGGGGGTGGCCACATCCACCACCACCACCACCGGTGGCAAACACTGCAACGCATCCAACGCAACCGCGAACAAGACGACATAAGACACTAGCAGGGCATGTAGATGCAAACGCAGGCACACTTAGGGCACAGACGAATGCGGACATTGGTTGGGCCGGGGGCTCCCGGGGTGGTGGACTGGATGAGTACTGGGGTGATGACCGGCATGGTGACGAGGGGGGGAAGGGGGGAGCGGCTGTTGGCCGGGGGCACACACACAAACACACACAAACACACACAAACACACACAGTCACGGACACACACAGTCACGGACACACACAGTCACACACAGTCACGGACACGCACACACACGGGCGGGGGTGATTGAGGGTCCGCCACCGGATCCTCCTTGCTGGTTGGTCCCCTTGTGTTTCGTGTCGGAACTGGAACCTGCGTGTGGGGCAGCACCACACGGCCACCACAAGGCGGCACCACCTCGTCTGCGCGTCCGTAAACCCCAACGTATTTAAGTGTGGGCACATCGTGCATGTGTAAAGACAAAACTGTACAATGACATAGTATATATAAGATAGATATAATAGAATTAACAATTTAATTGTAAAATAATGTACATATTATGTAGTATGTTTGTGTGCGCTCATGGCTTCTGCAGTGCTCGTAGTTCTGTTGGTGTTCAGGTACCTGGGGCTCCTCGTCTGGGTCACAGTTGCACTCTCCGGGTCTCTCTCCGTGCTCCTACTGCTACTGCTACGGACTGGGGGTGGACTAGGTGGCAGCAGGGCGGTGTGCGATGGATTTGGGGTTGCGTGTGCGTGTGCGTGTGCAGGGTGGATGTTGGGGTGGGGGAAGATGGCAGTGACGTGGGGTGCGTGATGAGGAAAGCAACTGTCAACCGTTCGCCAACTGTGGGTGCTTGCAGGTTGGTTTATCTTGTTGGACATCTTTTGCTGCATCTCGCCGAGCTCTGGCTGGCAGCTGGCAGCTTACATGCGGGCATGTTGGCGACTAGGCCGCAAAAAGGGGAGAGGCGTTGCGCCCCGTGCTGCCCCCGCTGTAGCAGCTGAGGTAGAGCGCCCAATAGCGCCGCCTCTAAATCCTTGCTGTCCTGTCAACCCCGCCTCACCCCGCCCCGCGGGGCACAAGGATGCGGGTGGGAGTGCGGCCCGCGGCGCTGACGGGGTGTGTGTGTGTGCGTGCGTGTTTACATGATCTGACCCGTGATGATGGCAATGCTGATGGTGGTACACGAATAACTTTATACCAAAGTGAGCTCCGTAATCCAACAAAGTGTACGAAATTTAAACGAAACTGTAGAAACGCAGCTTGAAGATGTCGATTAGAAGGTGGTGTCAAGAGCCCGTAGTAATAAGCAGCACTGTTGAGGCGAAGGACGACGACTAGATATCATGAGCGGCTAGAACTGACTACTACAGACAACGAGGGCACCAAACGTCCCAACTACGTTGAACCTATAGACGTGTTTCCATATCTAATCCCAGGCTAACGGACAAAGCTAACGGACAAAGCAGAGAGAGGGTTATGCTGCTGCTACACCACAGCGTCTCTGCGATGTGTCCCCCCAGGGGAAGGGGGAAGGGGGGCACAACGAACCCTTCAGTTGTGCAGTTTAAGGTTAGCTGACCTGGGAACAAAGGGAAGTGAAGAAACGAAGGATGTGGGCGGAACGGCAGCGGCAGTGGAAATTAGTGGTAGACAGGTTTTTTTCGGAAGTTTTGCGACTGCGAGGGCAATTTCGTTGGGAGGGCAGGGACACATACACATACATATATACTAGGTTAGGCACTACTGGTAAGGCACGGATCATTGCCCCCGGGAGATCCCGGGATCGAGATCTATCAGGGACTTCCGATAGTAGAAGGTAAAAGTGCCCCTAGTCGATGGACGGTGGTTGGCCTGGGATAAAGTTGACTTGTGAGCCGACCATAAATAAGGCGCTGCTGCCAACCACCTGCAACGCACCAAACCCAACCAACCTAACAACCAACTGCTGCGGCTGAAACACTAGCTACACCGATGTCAAGAAGGTCCGCGTGAAGATGTGTGGTAGGCTTGGACCCGAATTCCCGGTTGGCCGTGGAGTGAAGCAGGGTTGCCCTTATTAAAGTAGTGTGACACTTTTCGTCGAAAAACTCTTCGTTGAGGTGTTCGCCCCCCACTAATTACACTGATGTGCAAACGACACTGGATGTCGCCTGTGCCGCCTCCCTAAGGGCAGGGCCATAGGGCCTCTACGAGGTCAGAGTGGGTCACTGCTGGTACTGGGGACTGGGGACTGGGGACTGCGAGCTCACCACCCTGCGCCTGCTGTTCGTCGAGGGGCACAGCAGCACCTGCTCTCGGCTCTAGCTAGAGCTATAGATCAATAAGGTCAGGCGACTGGCACGGCGGCAAATATCGCAAAGTGTGAAGTGTTCATCTTTGGATGAACAACGCGCGAGTGCAAGCGGCGCGTGGAGGCAGCAGCGTACTCGTTGGGTGGGACCAAAGGCTGCACGGGTCGACCGGGAAAGAGACCACCCCTAACCTCGGGGGCTACACTACGCGCCGGAGCAGCACTTCACTGCCTGCACGAAGCAACTGTTCGCTGCGGGCAAGCGAGTCACATTCGGCCCCACTCACTGTGTTGTGCCGCGGTAAAAAGCCTGAGGTTACTATGCCAAGCTCTGTATGGGGACTTCACAACAAACGTGCCTTCTCGTACGGGGCGCAGGTGTGGGGCCCTGACTCCATCAATGCGCACATCTGCTTTTCTGCACACCCCATGGGGGGCAGCTGTGGGTTCGACCCCCACGGTGACCGAACGGGCAAGTGCGGGTCATGTGGCCTGGTGTGTGGAGGGAGGCTTATCTTGTGGTTGCCTAGGACCCGCGACACAGGAAACACACGGCAGGGGCCCACGCGCCGTTATTGCCAGTAGTGGAATGAATCAGAGTGTGAGAAAACCACACGTGGTTGTGCCTCTGCCACATGTCTTTTCCGTTGTAAGGGGGACGAGGCGCAGGAGCCCAGGCTTGCTTGTCAAAAAGTGGGTCGGGTCAGTAACGAGTACATACACGAGTATCTTGTTGTTGTTGTTGTTACATGGTCGTGGGGTTGCGTACCCCGTACCTGCAAACCACCCTAATACGAGCCGAGGGCTCAAGGGCTGCCAGATCGCCTGTAAGCACCATCCTACCTCGCACCCCCGCGAGTATCTGTGTGCGTGCGCCTGCTTGCATGCATGTTTTTGCGGAATTGCATTTTTTGCCTTTCTGGTGCTTTCCTCCTGTGTCTCCGTTATCACTCCCTAGCAAAGACCTATGTCCCCAATGTCATCCATCCCAGTTCACATTTCGAATATTACGGCTTCCTGCTTCATGTGATGTGGACTTGATGATAGCCTAGGCTTACATTAATGCGAATGGACGCCTGTAAACCTGATGATGTGTGATGCCGTCCTGTTCCTGGAGAATGGACGAGGGAGAATGAAGATGACCTCCCGCGTACCCGCATCAATACCAATACAACGTCCATGGGCCCCCCCCGGCTTTTACGGACACACCCGCACTTGTGTGCGGAACTTGTAACTTGTTCCTAAACCCATATGCTTGCTGGTTACCAGATGAATCAACCAGGAGGGTCAGCAGCGGCTCAAAGGGCAAAAAAGCCACCTTACTAGTCCGCACACACTTTACTCGCCCTCCCCCGGAGCTGCATCCCAATGCCGTACACAGCACGTGTCAGCTTGAGGACATAGAAAGCATATCTCCATCAACACCCAGTATTAATTTACTGCCTTACTTGGAAGGATTGCTGCCATCAACCGCCAACCGCCAACCGACCAAGAAGCGAAACAAACAAAAATCGGGACCAGCAACATTTTGGCTGGTTAGAAGCAAACAACAATGAGATGACCCCCAGATGGATCCACACAGGGCTTTGGTTTTGGCGACGATATTGATGCATCATCATCAACCCATATATCAGTGCGCTACTACTGCTACTGCCACCACCTCTGCTACTGCGTTAGTTACCAGGTACTGTTATTAGTGACGTACGGATGGTTGATGATGCAATTCATTAAACCCTAATATAAACTTTTCTATATACCTTCCAAAAATCTCAGCCCTTGCCCCTTAAATCGAGCGCCATATCCCCCAACCGAGCTGGTTTCGGAACGCATCCGGCCGTAGCACACGCAGGCAGCCCCACCCGGCCGCGCCTCCCTTCACTACCATTCCTATGTTCTATCAGATCTACTACAGGTCTACTTACACGACCACAATTCCACATCGCATGCATCCTCTACGACCCCCTGACCGACCAGCCCGCCCATCAGCTAACCAACAACCAACCAACAACCAACCAACCAGTCACCCGCTCAGCCAGCCAGCGAAAACCAGATGCCATCCTTCGTCCCGCCCCCAATGAGGAGTGCCCAGCAGCACCTTGAAACGTATAACTTACTTTAATTCTTGGTTCTTGGCTCTCCTTATTTCCTTTTTCTTCCTCTTTTGGATCTCAGGCAGCCAAATGGCATTATTGGTGCACCACCATGGCCGTCGCCACCAACTGGGGGGCGCTCGGGGCGATCTGTCCGCTCGTGGTCCCCTGGGGCACCACCGCGGGCCCCTGGCACGGGCCCCTCCGTGCCAGCAGCGGTCCGCGAGTGGGGGCCAACCAAAAAATATTACATCTTCACTCCCACCCCCACCGCACCACCCCTCCATGTGCCGTACTGCACTGCACCGTACCAGGATCAGCCACAAACAACCAAAAAGGAGCAACGACACGTATCCAGGATGCCCTCTTTTCCTCCCCTCCCCCTCCCCCTTCCCCTCCCCTCCCCTTCCCTACCCCTCCCTCTGCCACTCAGCATTGCCGTCATCAGACATCCCTCATCAGCCACGGCCCTCCTCATCCGCCTCTCATCCTCATCCCCATCACGAGGCCACCATACGGACGGACGGATGAGGTAATGCCGCCGCCGCCGCCACCGGAGGCCTCCACCCATTGAGGAAGAAGAGGAAAGGCCCCGCGGGAGCCCCTTTTACGCACCAGGCCGTACACCTGCCGTACGATGGAATATAAGGGGTTTATTTACGGTGCCGCCGCGTCGTCACGTCGACGAATTGCCACATCACGGCCCGGCGCTGCCAAAATTCCGCCCTCATGTCGCCGCCGCCGCCGCCGCCGCCGCCGAGAGTCAATGCCAATCAGCGCCACAGCATCCATAGTCTGCCAAAAGAGGTGAAGGTATGCCGTACGCCATATGCTACGGCAGCATCTCCACCAGCAGTCCGCGACTGTGGCGCTGGTTCAGACCCTCCAGCGCCGTACAGTCCGCCGCCGTCAGCCCAGCCATATCGCGCAACGTCAGGCGCTTCAGGAAGGCCAGCTCCGAAACCACGGACGAGAAGCCCTCCAGGGTCAACTATAGCGAGTTACGCAGCGGAGTGAGGAGGAGGAGGAGGGAGGGGGGGACGGGGTTAGGGAGAGGACGCAACAGGACACGGGTGGACTGTGTATCGAGGGGGGCGGGTACGATGGACATAACGTGCGGGTGCGAGGCCATCAGGACATGACACGGGTGTGTTTGGGCCATGTGGGGGACATGCATGTATTGTGCGTGTATTGTAGTTGGTTTGGTGGAGGTGGTGGTGGTGGTGGTGGTGGTGGTGATTGCTTCCCCGCATTTCGGGCCCTATAACCCAGAGCTCCTCCCACCCCCCCACCCCCACCCCCAAACTCACCTGATGTACTCCCGCCACGGTCAAGGTGGTAAGGCCCGTGAGAGCGGATAACGACCTCAGGCCCTCATTCGTAACGCCAACGCAACGAACCAGCTCCAGCTGGGGGGGAGGAGAGAAGAGTACATCCGTATGTATATATGTGTATGTATGTACGTATATATGTACGTACGTGTTACGTGGTCATCAGCAATATATAATAGCTCACACGCATGAGCGAGCAGCTGATTCCGACGATCATCCCATAGGTCCTATGACCTAACGAAAAAAGCACTGGTCTACGGATCCGGAGATTCCAGATTCGATCCCTGGTAGGATCGCATGGCTTAGCTAATCGTTCTTTTGATCCGGTCCGGTGACACCTCTGTAATAGATGGAGGTTCTAGGTTCGATTCCTGGTCAGACCCCCGACATTAATCGGGAGAATTAGCAGGATTGGCAGCAGCAAACTGTTTGTGGGCCAATGAGAGAGAAAGAGAGAGCACAGAAGAGACGGCGATAGTAAGGAAGAGGCCCTCCTCTACCCTAAACCCCTAAACCCCTAAACCCGTAACCCACCCGTCTACCCGCACTACTGACCGCCCACTAGCCCCCCCCCCGGAACTCAGCACCAGGGCCCCACCTCAGTCAGCCTAGGCAGCGCCCCCACCAGCAGACCCAATCCCGCATCCCGCATCGCGTCGCAATTGCACCAGGCCAAACTGGTAAGGCTGCCGCCCCACTGGGACATGTACGACACCAGCACGGCAGTATCGGTTTGGTTCCAGTCCAGGCGCAGGCTGGTGAGTCCAGGGATGGCGACGGATACGAGCGGGCTCATCAGGGCGTCGTACAGGTGCAACCGGCTGCGAGCGGGGGTTGCGGTACGGCCACACGAAACGCTCAAATGCAACAAATGTGTACTGCAGTCAAATTCATACTTGAAGGAAGGGGGGAAAGGGTGGTGGGGTGCGCGGGGGGGGTCGGGTGCTTGGCGGTTAGCGGTCTGTTGCAATCGATACATGATGTTTAGCAAAAAGTCGACTGTCATGAAGCAGCTGTAGGTGTCCAAGCGCCAATCTATTGCATTGCCGGAGACCAAAGCATCGAAGCATTTGCCCCCGTAACGGAGGGGGGGTTGAGTTAGGATGCGGGGTGGAGTAGGGTTACCGTACACATGGAAAACACGAGGCATGCATTCCAAAACTGATAGAAATACGACAGGGATATGCCGGGGCGCTCCAAAACCAAGTAAACCAACCTCTTGGAACCAACCGCGCGGCTGGCTGACTGGAAAACGTTTTCCTGCGTTCCGAAACCACAACTCCCCTAAAACGTAAAGCAATCTGTACCACTGACAGTACGAGCCATACATGGGCAACCAGGTTCGTACACACCAGGAAAGGCCGCCAATAAACCCCGGCGGCCTCAAGGCGAAGCGACCCCTCCCTGGACACGGGGCCCCCTCTCCCGCCTGTCCACCCGCTACCTCCCTACGGCACAGATACATGCCGTACAAGGTGCCATCCAAAAAACGAAACTAGTGAATCAATCCCATGCCTTGTCGGCTGTCGTCACGCAGAGAGAACACCGCCTCCTAGCCACCACCCGCCCAGGCATCACCCACCCACAGTTACCCCCTCCCGAGCATACTCACGCCACCGGCAACGTCCTCCCGCCGCCGCCGCCACTGCCACCGCCCTCTCCCCCTTCTGCCGCCGCCGCCACCGCCCCCGCGGCCGCCAGCGCTGTCGTACCGGTGACGAGCAGCTCCCGAGGAATCCGCTGTGCGGAATCATGGCTGAGCACGTACCTGGTTTGCAGCGCCAAGTCCTCCAGATTAGGAAACACCGCCAGCAGGGGCACCTCCGTGCGCTGTGTGCGTGCGTGTGGTGTCGTGGGGGGGGGGAGAGGGGAGGAGAGGAGTTCATTGGAGACGCCGAGGGGCAAGGGGCAAGGGGGGAAGTGCCAGGGGAAAAGGTGAGGGGCTACAAGTGGTTTCCTAACTACCGGGGTTACGACGAACCGCTGTGAACCGAGTGAAGCAGCCATCCTAGCTGGAGGATATAACTGGGGATGTGCAGGTGGGGGACCGGCGATCAGATTGCTTGCTTGTACGACAGTAAACCATCGTACAGGTTCTCAGGTAATATCAGATAGATACATAGATAAAGATGGGTGACGTCTTCTGTTCGATATCTCAATCGCACCTTTCTACTCTCTGTAACCCTGCCTACCTAGTGCCGTACCTGCAGGTCGTCCACGAAGCCCAGGTGCAGCAGCCTCAGTGCGGTCATGGTTTCGGAGCACGGAGCGGTCAGGTTGAAGCGACCCATCTGAAGGGAGCTGAGGCCCGTGCAGGGCCGAAGCTGCGGAAGGGGGGAGAGGGAGAGGAGGAGAAGAGAAGGGATTTCTAAATACACAGCCCAACCGGACCCTAGGGAGGTGATGGAGCGGTGTGTGGTGGGGGGGAGAGAAAATGGGGTGCGAAAGCCGTGGATAGAAAACCGTGGATATACGAATATAGGCAACCAAGTTTCGTATTTTGACCATCTCATGGAATCCTCCGCTTGAAAGCGGCTCCGTGGCGTAATGGTGGCGCGTCGGATTCCAAATTAGGAAATCATCCGAAGGTTGTGGGTTCAATCCCCACCGGGGTCATTTGCTTTTCTTACAGTCTGATCTGGCGACACCTCTTTAGTAGACGAAAATTATGGGTTCGGTTCTTCCAAAATCATGGGTTCGGTTCTTCCAAAATTATGGGTTCGGTCCCTTGGAAGAACCGAACCCATAATTTTCGTCTAATTTTCGTCCCTGATATAAATCGGGAGAAAAAGATTTACATTTTGCTGATGAGGTGTGAAGATGAGGTCTAGTTGATGGACTGACTTTCGCATGCTGAGTTGGTGGTGATGGCTGAACTCACTACACGGATGTCGGGTGACTGGATGAGGTGGGGTCTAGGGTAGCAGGACCAAAAACACCGTCAGTTGTACGGTGGAATCAACTTTGATCATATACAGTCCATATGGCCTCCCGGCTTTGACGCCCCCCCCGCGCTTGTGTGGCACTTATAACTTATAACTTTCGTCACCGAACAAGGCATTAGTTAACGTGCCTACGGAAGACACCGAACGGGATGAGGGGAACGAAAAGGGGCGAGGAGGGGAGAGCCGCGGCGTGCAGTTGTGAGCTAGCGCCATGTCAGCTATTATAGCTTGCGGACGTGGCGGAGGTGGCGACCTGCGAGCGTGTGTGTGTGGCTGTGCGGGCGAAGGAGTTGTTGGGGGGGGCCCCGGGGGGGGTGGGGCGCCACCACGACACCCTCTCCACTCCTCGCCCTGCACCTCCTCCCATTATGGCACACCTCCCTTTTCCCCACCCACCCCCGTGCTCCATCCCTTTCCTAAGCCCGCCGCCCACAACACACCTCTCGCTCTCCCTTTTTCACAACTCCCATACACCCCCCCCACACCCCCACCTACTCGCGCTGCAGTCCAAATCCCCGCCGTCCTCCTCCTCCTCCTCCTCCCTCACCCTCCCTGCACCCTAACAGCCCCTCCTCCTCACCGCCACCAGCAGGGAGTTTGTGATGTCGAAATTGGACAGGTTGAGAGATCGCAGGTGCGGCAGGCGGGGGAGCACCGCGGAGAAGCACGGCAGCAGGTTGTCGTCATAGTGGTTAGTGATCTGCGA